TGTTTTTGTTTTTTTGTTTTTTTTTTTTTTTTGGTTTTTCGAGACAGGGTTTCTCTGTGTAGCTTTGCGCCTTTCCTGGAACTCACTTTGGAGACCAGGCTGGCCTCGAATTCACAAAGATCCGCCTGCCTCTGCCTCCCGAGTGCTGGGATTAAAGGCGTGCGCCACCACCGCCCGGCTTGATTTGTTTTTGAGCTTTCCATTTTCTTAGCTGTTATAGTTCTTCTCTTTGGTGACATGCTAGGATTAACCTTTAAATTTCTATTTTAAAAGTCTGTAAAACTTTTATTGTGATTGCAAAAATAATTAATATTTTAAACACTATCTGACCCATGTACATAAATATATGTAGGTTTGTTTTTAAGAAACGCGCAGAATTGTTTTACAGTTTTTAATATTAGGTCTTTATCTGTAAGTAGGTAATTGTTTTAGATGCTTCTATAAGTAACATTTTTAAAATTCCATGTGTTTGTCATTTATAACTGGTTTATAGAAAAATTTATTTTCATGTAAATGATGTACATTCCTCCAAGAGTCAGTTTAATAGTTCCAGTAGATACTCACTAGGATTTTGTACATAGATAGACATGTAATTTGCAAGTGAGGATAGTTTTACTTCCTTCTGATTTCTATATTGTTTTTGGTATGAGGATGTGGTGCTTTTACAATGTATTTACACATTTATATGTAGATAATTTATCACCTTGAATAAAATTTTTATTATTAGTAATAAATTCAAGTGAATTTTATATTAAATGTGATTTTTCTCTTCTCAGTGTAATGAATTGTATTCTTTGATATTTTAAATTTTTTGATGCTTGAGATTGAGCCTAGGGTCTTGTATAAATGCTAAGCTTTCCTGTAGCAGAGAACTATACCCTGCGCCTGTCACTGATTTGTTAATATTAGAAACCAAGTTAATGTCAGGATAAATCCTACCTAAATTGGCTAGTTTTATTTTCATGACTTTCTCTGGTGTTGTTTCATTCATAAACTGAGTTTGAAAATGTTCCTCACTCCTTAGTCACTATCTTTTCCTTCTGTCCTATTGAGCTATTTTGCATTTTTATTACTTGTCAATCTTATTGGCATAAAGTTATTCATAGTGATTTATTATTTTAGTGCCTGGGATATCAAATGATATATAAAGCCATGGGAGTCTGTTTAAGAAGTATTAGGGAAATTTATTAAGGTAAATTGAGGAAATCCACTTACGAATACTGAACGGAGTACACAGCTTAAGTCATCCTCTGATCTGACCGGAATTTGATAATGTGGATTAACATTAGTTTTGCTTTTTTAAAATTACTGTTATTTTCCTGTCGCTGTGTAGTTTTACCATATAAAAGTAAAGTTTATTATTCAAACCTAGAATCAAGGAGAACTGACCCGTAGGCAAATTACTGAAGCACTGCTTCTTTGTAGTTTCCTCCTTCATGATATTTTGCATACAAATTCTAGTCCAACCATGGTCATTGCAACCTCCCAGTACTCTTAAATCATTCTTGGCCTTCTCAATTCAGTGAGCCCCCATCTTCTGCTTAGATTTCTCTATGCTATATTTAGATTCCCCTTCCCTACTTTATGGTCCAGAAATTGCCTCTAAGCAGAAAGCCCCAGGGTGTTTAGGAACCTCACAGCATTGGTTTCTTTTCTCAGGGATTAGAGTACTATGCTGTCTATACTCCAGTGGTGCCATATATATTTTGTTCACTCTTCTAGTTACTCATAGTAGGAGAACAGATCCCACTTGTTTACTGTGTTCTGGCCAGAAATAATAGTTGTTTATTTATGCGTATTTTATTTGTATGTGTGTGCTTGCATATGTGCCTATTATATAATAAAATGTATTCACGTTTCAAATAATTATATCTCTCTAGGAATAAATTCTCAAACTAAGCAAATACTTATTCTTGGTCAGGTTGCTTAGGATTTTAACATAGTGATTTTGTTAAACACTATTGTAGAGAGAACACTGCACTGGCATTATTGATGAATTTGGTATATGTGATTTCTGTTTTTATAAAAAAGCCCTGCTAAGTTTTCCATTGTCTAAGAAAATCTTCCGATGGAGAAAAAGTGGACACAATGTACTAGCTATCTTTGAGGAGAGTTTTGCAATAAGCTACACAAAAAAGAAAACAAATAATGAGAATTGCTGTCATTTTTATTTCACAAGTAAAATCTCCATCTAGCAAGACTATAATTATAGCAAGCAAACACCAGTCACCCAGAATACAAATATGGCTTGGCTTGTTCAAAGCTTTTAAGTAATAACCTCTAATAACAGAAGTAAAGTTTCTGGTTTTGTTTTTCTGTTAAATTGAAAAAAAAATCTAGTACTAAATTTCTCCTTTGTATGATCTTTGCAGGAAGGGTGTACTAAGATGTGATGATGTTATTTTTTTATTTCATTGTTTTTTACTTTGAATAGTTTTGAGTGTGTGTAAGAATTCTTAGGACACTGTGCTATGTATATGTCAATCCTGAAAGACCATTTGAGCTAACTCAGTTTATACATTGACTTGTTAATAGGTTATGTATTACTTATCTGTCTCCATGGATCGGGGGTGTTAGGAGTTAACCTCTGGCAACAACAGTTACATCATCTATAAATGGCAGTCCTAAGATTGCAAACAAGATGTGTTTGTGCACAGTGGGTAGTTATCGGATGTCTTATTCCTTGATCTAGCATGCTGTAGACTTCAAACTCCTCTTGTGTGGTCATTTAGATAAATTGCCCTGTTTATATATTAACTCTAAACTTGTATATTGTGAGATATTCTGTTAGGGTTCTAATCCGCATACTGAAACTTTTGAACACCAACATAAGGAATTGTATTTTTATATTTGAGTCCTGTTCTAGACAAGAATACTCAATCTGTATATATCATACTTTCCCATGTTTCCTTGCCCCAGCAATCATATGACTGAATTACATAATTTATAGTCTCAGTGCATGGCAGAAAGGGGTTCCCTGCTAGTCAAAGTCAGTCCTCATGTTCACCTCTGCCTTCCTCTTTACATTAAAAAGTCACTAGAACCAAAATGAAAGAAAGTATTGATGCTAAATCTAAAAGCTTTTCATTGTCCTTATATCATATGTTCCCATAGCAATGGATGGTTCTTAAGGGCCCTGGTACCAAGGTATCTGTTCTAGCAATAGCCTTCTCAGAAAGTGTGGAGTTTTAACCCTTCTTAAGCAGCAACCAATTGATTGGAGTTTTTTGTTTTTATTTTTATTTCTTTATTTCTTGTTACTTTTTGCAAGCCAGTCTTTTCTGGGTACTCTAGAGGTGATTTTAGTATCACACAGACAGCTTTTGTTTCAGTGTTTTACTGTTTTCTGAGGCAGGTGTAGGAATTCTGCCTCCTGATCTTTGTAAACTCAGATCAGTGAAAGAGTAAATAAGTCCCATTTGCTTCCTGGTCCTTTCACTTCACACACCCTCTCAGTATGACAGCATTGATACTGTGTGTAATTACCCAAAGAAAACATCTGAACTAGCTCTCAGTGAACCTGCATTCTCCATCTTACCATTGCAAGAAAAACACCCAACTAGCAAAAGATTAGCAGTGCCCATTCTCACATCTTGTTGCTATCTCCACTGACTACATTGAAGGGTATTCTAATCTCTCTGAAAACTGTGGCAATAGAACAAATTATTTATTTGCTCATACAAAGGTAGTAACAAAAATGAGTAGTTTTCAGATGGAGCTTTCTTTACCTAAAAAAATCAAAGAAATTTTTAAAAAGAAATATATATTTCTTATGTCATATGAGGAAACTAAGTTTATAATTCAGCTTGGCTAATGTGACATTCTTATACAGATTAAAAATTTATTTCTACTTATACTTTGGTCATGAAACCTTAAGTAAAGGATATTCAGGCAGATTCCAGTCTTCATTAAAACATGGCCATTTTGTCTGTTTCTCGTAGCTATCATTTAGATTTTGTCTGTTAGCCGTATGGTTTGTATTACAGTCTTAAAAGTCTGTCCACCAATTAGCTGCCTATCTTTGTGAGCAAGACTTCCATGCATCTCTGAGTTCTGGAGCTACATACTCTCTGGAGATATGTCTGAACCCTGAGATTGTTTCTCTTCCTACCCTTTCCTGCTTTCCAAACAAATGGGGTTTTTCCCCTTAAGGCTTAAAACATGAAAGTACTTTGTGACATAAATTCTCACTGAGGTTATTACAAAACTGTTACTAACACACAGGTTGAATAGAGGAATATGTAGCTAGAGTTTTCCTGCCTAGCCCACAGTCAGGACAAATCTCTATCACCCGCCAGTCCCACAGCCACTCAGACCCAACCAGGTAAACACAGAGACTTATATTGGTTACAAACTGTATGGCCATGGCAGGCTTCTTGCTAACTGTTCTTACAGCTTAAATTATTCCATTTCCATTAATCTATACCTTGCCACATGGCTCGTGGCTTACCGGCATCTTCACATGCTGTTTCTCATCATGGCGGCTGGCAGTGTCTCTCTGACTCAGCCTTCCACTTCCCAGCTTTATTCTCCTCCTTGTCCCGCCTACACTTCCTGCCTAGCCAATGGCCAATCAGTGTTTTATTTATTGACTAATTAGCAACGCATTTGCCATACAGAACATCCCACAGCAGGAATATCTTACTGTGGGGAAAAAAAATGAAACAAGCTTTCCTTCTGTAAGATGAATATTCTGCTATCCATGTTTTTCTGGTTGTACATATCTGCCCATGGAGATTTGTACTAGATATTGACATGTCAGTTCTTTGTATTTTATGGTAAAGACTCAATTAATAGAGAATGTTCTAGAGAAGCAGATGCTCACTGTTTCTCAAGTTAACTTTACATATGCTGAAAGCTGTCTTTCCACTTTCGATTCCCTTGGTATCTTAGGGTGAAGTAGAGGAAGAAGGGTGAAGAAGAAATTATTCTCTTCAACTGCCCTGCAGGAAATCCTCCTCTGTTTCTAAAGCTCTTGTTTTTGTTTTTTTTCCCCCTAGGAGTCTAATGTGCTGATTGCTGCTAACAGCCAGGGTACAATTAAGGTAAACCATTTCATATACCCCCCATTTAAACTCGGGTCCTTTTCTTAACAGGTTCTTGGAAATATACAGCTGTACTGAGCCTTCATGATCATTTCAAATTAGGGGTTTCAGTCCTCAGAAATGACTTAATTGGTATTGAAAGAAATAGGTAGCGTACAGTTATGGAGATGATCATGCTTCTTGGGGCTGGGCTACATGGATTGATAAATGGTCAGATAAACAGATAAGGACTTTTGAGCATTTACTCTGGACCAACATAGCCATACATAGGCTATCTAGTACACAGTCAGTCTGTGGTAGAATCTTGGGTACAGATGTATTTGCTCTCTTCATCTGTGCTTTGTTCTTCCTCGTGTTTCTCTTTCTTCACTTCCATAGCAAGTAGATTTTTTTTAATCCCTCCTTGCTAAGGTGGGAGTCAGGATGGAGAGGAAATTTTAGTGTTCTGTAATCTGAAAATCTGTATGAACCCGAGAGCATAGTCTGAGTGACAGAGTCATAGTTTTCTGCATGTGATCGGTTTTTTTTTTTTTTTTTTTTAGTTAATGGTTCAAGGACATCAAACTTTCATTTGATTATAACTTGTAGTATTTAGCCCTTGGGCATAATGCATTATTTATGTAAATAAATGCTAAGCTAAACAGTGAAATTTTTCTAAACAAAACCTTATTTGGATGGAGATTTTTAAATACGTAAGTTTAGCTAACACATAACATCTTCCTTCGATATGTTCTTCTGGAAATTTCACAAAGCATTTTTTTATACTGTGTCTGTCTTGACATTTATTTTGCCACAATTTCCTTTAATTCATAAATGCACAGTTGCCCAAAGCATCAAGGGAGCAAATTCAAACTAAGCACATCCTGTGAAGATGAAATATACAAACTCAAGGAAGAACTGCATTGGTAACTAGTCAGGCTAACTCATGACAGTTGCCTTTTTCAGGCAGGTAGTCTGTTTGATAATATCTTTTCTTAAGAGGGACCACAACTTCAATGAAAACAAGGCCTTTGCACTGATCAGCATTAGTTCCTTTCTGGAGGTCTCAAGCAAGATTAACACTAGGGCTTGGAATTTGATTGAAGTCCCTAGTCCCTAGTTCCACATTCTCTTGGCAAGGCATGGATTGAAAATGGAACACCTTAATCAACAGTCTAGACATACGGAGCAAATGGAATTATTAACATCCCTATAGTAACTCCAAGGCTATAATGGAATCCTGTAGACTCTCAGAACCAAACAAGATTTTTCAGCATTGGCCTGTCATGTTTAGAGAACCCTAATGTACTACATCGTGCACACAAAAAGCATCATGAAGTTCAAGAGAAGGTGAAGGGTTGCACATCTCAGGTTTTTATGACGTAAAGTTACAGTGTCCGTGGAACAGTCCTTGACAGTCTCACAACCACTTTCATGTTCTCAGTCCTTTCTTAGCCATTTCCTTCCTTGTTTCCTCACTTTTAATTTTAATGCCATCACAGCTTACTTTTATGGCATGCTAATAACTTAACACTACGTATTTTGATACCAGATGGTTGACATTGAAATTGAAATCAGCAGGAAAGGCAACATTGATATCCTCTAAATCTTGATTGCTAGTGTTGTCTTAATGTTGGCAACCTAGTGCTTATTAAGAGAAGAAATACTAAAATCCATAACAATATTTTTCCTTAAGAGTATATTTAGATACCAGAAAATACTCCCAAGATATTCTGTGCATGCTTCACCTCAGCCCATTTGTATCCTTCAGTTTCACGTAGTTCACTTTAAAGGCTCCCTGACTGGTGCAATAACTAATTTGAAATTTTTCATACCATGCTTGAATTGAAAGAAGGAATGAATATCTGGTTCCTTCCAGTTCTTTGACATTATACCAGTTAGTAGGTATTTTTATTTGGTTTTCCAGTAGTACATACAGTAAAGTGTCATTAAACTCTGTATGTTTTATAACGACTCTATAGAACTTTTCCTTCTATTTCCCCCATTAGGTGCTAGAATTGGTGTGAAGGGATTCCTGAAGTCAAATCGTGTTTGATCCTCCCGAAAACCATCTGCAGCTGATGATGAGAAAGAAAAAAATGGCATGTGATGTCTCTCCAAAGTCAGCCTGGATTTGGGATTTGTTCTGAGCACCTTCTTTCCTCCTTTTACACCATTGAGACATTGGGAATACCCAGAGAATTCTCCGCCATCAGTGTAACCATGAACTTCGCTGTTGGCAGTGTGGCTAATTTTTGTGATAGGGAAACAAATTCTTTTAAATAAAAATAATAAAAGTTTATTGAGCCACAGCTGAGCTGGGAATGCATTTGCCAGGTGTGGTGAGAGTCTTTTGAAGAAGTAGAGGTGTGGGCTGTAGAGAAGGTACTGCCTGGGGCAGGAGAGAGGCTCAGTGAAGAAGAGCACTGGCTGCTCCTACAGAGGATCCAGGTTCAGTTCTCAGCACCTGCTGAGTACCTCGCAGCTACCTGTAGCTCCAGTGGGAGATCTGGCATCCTCTTCTGGCCTCCTGGCACACCAGGTATGCATGTGGTATACGTACAGACATCCAGGCAAAATGCTCACACATTAAAATGAAAATAAATCTTATTTTAAAAGAAAAAAAAATGTACTGGCGAGTAATTTTAAAGTTGTTTTTCCCACCCCTTTTGGAATTGTGCATATCAACATGAACAAAAGATGAAATGTGTGGATTCCTTCCAGTGAGTTTAATGATTGCAATAAAAAAAGATTAAGAATCTCTTTCTATGTACCCTGATGAGATTATCATTATCAGATCTTTTGGGTCCCTCCAGAGCTGGTCAAAGATCTAAGAGTTTGACTTACTGAGATCAAGTAAAAAAGGAGGGATGGTCCTTACAACTAGTTCTCTTTGGCACCAATAAGCCTTTGATAAAACCAAATCAGCTTTTCTTTTATCCAGACCTATCAGGTTGTACTGGCCAAGACTGATGAGTGACTTGGAGCAAGGTCAGCAGACCTTTTCTGTAAAGGGACAGATAGGAAATATTTTAGGCTTTGCTGGGCATGTGGTCTCTGTTACATACAAGTGTTGAGCTTGCTCCACTGGTGCAGCAGAAAAATAACCACAGATAGATGGACAAATGATCATGGCAGCTCATTATCTGCAAGCCCCTGACTTAGAACTAAACTTGTATGCTCTGGTACCCTCAGCTTCAAAGCCATGTGACCTCCTAAATTGTAGAGTTAGTTTATAAGTCATTTTCACATCAGACCATTGGGTCGAGCAAAAGTAACATGGAGAACTACTTAAAGTCTGAATGCTTTTCAGCAAAAATGGTTCAAGCAAAATTCTCCACACATTTCATGAAACACTTGCAGGAAGGTTTGTTAAGTACAAGTATGCATGAAGAATACACTATCTCAGTCGATCCCTCAGCTAAAGGTTATTGAGACCTAAGTAAGTTTACATTTTTTTTTCTCTGAAATTATTGAAACCAAGTGTCTCTTGGAATTTAGAATCTTTTGAATAACAGAAAATTCACAAAACGTGTAACTGTATTAAATAGCAACCCCACCAAAACTAAAGCAGTATTCCATGGTCCAACACATACTTCTGCAGCAAAGCATGCATATTCACATTGTATGAGATTGGTTAATAAAGAGGAAAAAGAATCCTTACAATAGTTTAGGCAAGGTTTTATCTCCAAATGATTTTTCCTCAAACTTAGGTGAAAGTTATTAGTTTTCATAGCTTTAAAGAGAATTGCATCTTACATGACTTATAAAATTTAAAACCTGCTGCACGTTTGGCCCCAAGTCTGAGAGAAGGGCTACTATCTGGAGGCTAGAGAGAAGGCTCAGTAGTCAAGAGCACTGCTGCTCCTGTAGAAGACTCAAATTTGATTCCAAGAAACAACAGATCTGCTCACAACTGGTTATAACCCCAGTTCCAGGGAATCTGACATGGTGCACAGATATACATGGCGGTGAAACACCCATACATGTGAATAAATCTTCAAAAATTCAAGTTACCATCTGTCACCAATGAACATTAAGATGAATGAATGGCAAGTTGTAAAAATGTAGGGAGAATGTTCTAACAGAGATCCTGGTATTAGGGCTACATGTCTTTAAATCTTTAAAATAGGAAGTAGTTAATGCCACCTTGAATGCCTTTAAATGAAAGTGATGTTTTTGTTGTTCATTTGCATTGTTTTTACATGCCCACATTATTATTTACCTCAAGCTCTATATAATAGAGTTGGTCATGTTAGATTCTACTTGGTTATCAAAAGGACTTGCTTTTTTTTTTAAATAAATTGTTTTAAGGTGGTGCTTCCTTTTTCTTTTTTCTTTTCCTTTTCTTTCTTTTTTCTTTTTAAAGATAGATTACCATGTAGCCTAGAATTTTCACTCTGTAAGTTACCTTGAGCTTCTAATCATCCCGCCTCCACATTGGGTGCTGGGATATAATCATGTACCATCCCTCTTAGTTTTAAGTGCTGGGGAGTAAAACCTAAAGCTTTATGCATTTATCAATTGAATTATATCCTTAGCCCATTCATTTAATTTTTTTTCTTGAAAATCATACAGCTTTCTAAATTTGAGTTCACCTCTGCAGGACATCAAGATCAAAATAATAGTCATATTCCTTGTAAAAATACAGTACTTAAATTATGATTAGAGAACATGTACATTTCTAACACCAAAAAAAATCTAAGAATAAATTGACAGGATATGTTTAATCTTCATTCCAATGGTTTTGTAGGGTTTCTCACCGAGCTTGTCTTTATTCCCAAGCATACATTTCTATGCATAAATTCATGTACAGAAAACATTAAGATTTGAATTATTTTGTTAAGTTCTTGTTAAAAGATTGGCTGAAGTATCAAAAAAATTAAGAGACTAAAGCCAAATGTAGTGGCACACTCCTGTCAGCTTAGCACTTGGGAGGTGGAGGTGGGAAGGTCAGGAATTCAGGATGATCCTCAGCATCATAGCAAATTCTAGGCCAGTCTGGACTACCTGAAATGAAACCCCATCTCAAGAAACCAGTGTGGGGAAATTTGGGACCCAGCTACAACTTTCAGGAAGATTTGTCTTTCTAAGCTATTAGGCAAGGAAGAGAGAGTTCAGGATGAGTTTGAACAGAGGAACCCATTATAGTGGCATTTTAGGACATGATTGAGGATTTGGATTTTGTTTTAAAGCAGTTAAAGAGAATGATGTGATCTGATTTATGGTGAATGAATCGGAGGCAAAAGCTCAATTAGGAAAATAGTTGAAAGTTAGTAGGAGCTTGGATTAAAGATAAATTAGCCACCTCAAAATCCTTCTTCAGCTATTGGAGTTCATCTTAACTGAAAGAACTTAGCCCAGCGAGTTTATTTCTTCAGGGGATTGCATTATACCAAGGCTGCAGTGAGTCACTTGGAAACATCATGGCCACAGTGCTCGTGAACTTTTAGCAAATCTAGAAGGCATCTAGCCCTGGTTCTAAATATAAGGGTAATTGGTCATTGCCCTTAATGTAATTATGCAGATGTAGCTGGTGTTGGCTGCTTCCCCGAGCTCGTTGTGTTACTTGGCTTGTAGTAGTAGTGCCTTGAACTTCCTCAGAACAGTTAGCTTGACAGCATCTGCAGCTTCTGTTGGGTGTTAGATAATTGTGGACTCATTTCCAGAGAGATCTGTTGAGTTCCTGCTTTCTGTGAGAATTCTGTCCTACATTCCCGGATAATTATAAATATCCTTGTGTATTGTCCACTTGTTAAAAGATTGGCCTACTAAGTATCAAAAAAGTTAAGAGGCTGAAGCCAGATGTGGTGGTGAGATGGATAGGTACCTAGGCAGAAATATAGCAGGCATAAACTTTGTTTGTTCACTGGGAAAATACGTGACCTGACACGGTGGGAGATGAAGGGTTGGGGAGAGGTAGTTGTTAGGAATTTTTATCTTAAGAGATAAAAATCTTAGCTGAATCTTAAAAAGCAAGTAAAAGTCAAAAATTTAAGGGCAATGGATTTTAAGAAAATGTAGCTCTCTTGGCCAAAACTGGAACAAGTGAACAATAGAATAAACATTAAAATGCAATCATATGTATAGAATAAATTGTGAAGCCATACTGTTGTCAGCAAATAACTGGGTAAAAAAGAAGAGACAGAATTCCAATTTGTGGATATACTCCACCCTCAAGATACTGATTGAGGCATACCTCCACAGTGATTTCCTCCCCAAAAGTATATTGTGGTTAAGGAGATAAAAGTTCCTACAGTGAAGAATCTCACAGAACTACTTTAATCATCTAATCAAGTCCAACATCAAAGATGATGTCATGTTGATAGTATATGGTGTTGATAGGATGTAAATGAGATGGTGCTTTTACTCTGTAGTCATAGTGTAAATGAGAAGGATATCAAATAAACACTTCTTGAGTCATATCCTACTAAATCATTGACAGGCATTCCCAAATTGTCAGAACTATCAAAAGCAGAGTCAGAGAAACTGTCACAGCCACAAGGAAAATAAAGAGACTGAGTAAATGTTCTGTACCATCCTGGATGGCATTCTGAAACTGAAAGGGACATTACATAAAAATAAAGGAAACTCAAATCTGTAACAGGTCTTCCTTTGGACTGCTAGCTCCCAAATGATGGCACATGAACTTCTTATTAATTATGAAAGCTTGGCCTTAGCTTAGGCTCGTTCCCAAATAGTTCTTAAGACTTAAATTAACCTGTTTATATTATATATTCTGCTATGTGGCTCATTACCTCTCCTCAGTACCATATGTCAGACTTGCTCTGTGTCTCATTGGTGAGTACCCCACCTCTCAGATTTTTCCCAGAGTTTCTATCTCTGCCCAGAAGTCCCGCCTATCCTCTCCTGCCTAGCTACTGGCTGTTCAGTTCTTTATTAAACCATTCAGAAGGTGCCTTAGCCAGGTAAGGTAAAACATCAACACATCTTCACACAGTGTGATCAAACATCCCACAACACAAATCAAATACGAACTTTATTGGGTATTAATAGTTCTGTGTTGGTGTACTGATTATAACAAATTGCCATCATAATATGAGATGTAAATGGGCTACATTGGGTATGTGTGTGATATAAGGGGTTCTAGTGTCTTGCCTCATTAAACTTTTTTTTTTTTTTACTTTTTAATCAATGTTTTAGAGTTTTTGGTTTTAGGGAATTGTTAGAAAAAACAACAACAACAAAAACCAAAAACGCTTACCTCACAAATGTGAAGGCCAAAGTTTCAATCCTCAGAATCCACGACAGATGAGTGGGTATAGCAAATTGATAGGAAGACACAAGGTTCCCCAGGAAAACCTGGTTAGCTATTGGCAGGCTCTGGGTTTGGCATAACCCTACCTAAGTAAAGAAAATGAACAATCAAGGAATGTACACAGCATCCTCTGACATACACCCACCTGTGTACCTGTACATACATGTACACATGAGTTCCTGTACACATCCTCATGTATACAAACTCACCACATCAAAAACAAAACAGAAGTTAAAGTATGAAGATAAGTATATACAAAGCAAAATGTAACAGCGATGAGAGTTAAAGATCAATGCATAAGTGATTTGCAGATGAAATCATAGCAACTGTCCATCTGTGACTTTGAAAAGCAGCAAAGATCATAGAGCTTAGCTCAAAACTGAAAGCTCTGGAGTTGGAAGTAAGGAGGGGGGCCCACAAAATCAAAGTTTGGGCTCCCAAATGTGACATGTTATACATGCAGAGTTTCCCTAAGTGAACTGAC